TATATATATATATATATATAAAATATCAATCCCACAATAAATGCCAGTGGAACACCATCAAATATATAGCCATGTTTCTTCTGCACATGCTTCCAATCTATTTACAAAAGGCATGTGCTGTATAAAAATCACAACTTTATGGATGAGTGTATTACATCAACCAGGTATGAGGAGAAACATAACAAATTCAACATTTTATCCTAAAAGTCCATTTATTTCTTAAAAGACTGGCAAATTGATTGCCAAGTACTCCGTCAGGCTATTTATTTACATCAAATCATGCAAAAGAACTTATAAAAAATACCTATACTATAACTCAAGAGGTGATGGATGTACTTACTTTTGCTCCTTGTTCACCAGGAGGGCCTCTGGGTCCCTGAAGAATAAAGAAGACATGTCCCAAATTATTTACAGTTCCCTCTTAGGATGGACATAAACAGAGCTATCTTCCCCATCCAGAAAGGAATGACTTGTTCCATGCTCGTACCGTTGGTCCAGTTGGACCAAATAGAAAAGGTGGCAGATCGTAGAGCTACAGAGGATGGGCAGATGACTCTCCAAATCCAAATCCATTATTCACTAGGAAACATCTACCAATCTATGGCGAACTTTAATTGTTAGCTTGCGTGTGCCCAGGGGGGAAATTTCTTACAGGTTCAATAGCTTTGTACTCCACTTTTTTTGTTTTCTTTCTTGGAAGGTTTTTGTTCATTGGGGCAATATTCAGTTTGCACCTTTTCCAGCTCATCCTTTCCTAACCATTTTCAAACTTGGAAAAGTTCGGCTGGTTTGTTAACTTTTTTTACTCCTCCCCCTCCTTATCTCCATAATTTCACCTCATCTCCATAACTTCTCTTCATCTACATAACCCTTCCTCATCTCCTCCCCCCTCATCATCTCTATAGCTTCTCTCATCTCCATTACCCCTCCCTATCTCCTCCCCCATCATCATCTCCATAACTTCTCTCATCTCCATTACCCCATCTCATCTCCTCCCCATCATCATCTCCATAACTTCTCCTCACCTCCATAACCTCTCCTCCTCTTTCCTCCTCATCTCCAAAAAATATATACTTTTTTCCTAAAAAATATAACATTTTGTCCACTTTTTTTCCCCAGTATGCCAGGTAGTCATTTGATCCTGTATGAATGTAGGAAAAAACTGATGGTGTTCAGGCTTCCATAAGTGGTGTACAAATTGCAGCATGCCCCATTCTATGTGAACTGGTCTCATTATTTCAGAGGAGGAGGGTGGAGGAGGAGGAGGCGGCGGCGGCAGCGGTGGTGGTGAGAGGTTAGAGTAGAATCACATATCCACCAGCCTTCTCCCTGTGCTATCAAATGCCAATATTTAGCCTTAATGCCTGTAGCTGGCTGGTAACCATATTTTTATGTTAAGCCACAATCACATGAGCGGCAAAGGGGCCATAACAAGAGACAGTTGATTTGCGTTTTTACAGCCCCCTGACCACCAACATAAAACCTAACATGGTGACTGCTCAAGTCTGTACACATGCCACAGCAAATGTTATATAGCTTGACCATTTCAATCAATGGGACCGTGCTACAACTGTGTGCAAACCTCTTAGCACATGTTTGCAGCATGGTATTGCAATGCAAAATCCCCTTGATCAAGAAACAAAAATGTATTCAGGAGGCACCTTCTGAACACCTGTAAACAGGCTATTAACCAGCCATCAACCCCCCTCTGAAAGAGCCACCAAGGATTGCTTTTCAGAAGGTAGTAAAGTCTGCTGCCCATACGAATTTAGCTTAACTGTCACTGTACTCTTCCAGTTAACCACAGGCAGAGTGGGCAGGCAGAGACATCCTTAGTGAAGCGTGACCAGAAACAGCAATACAGAAAATATTTGCTTATCCCGGAGTTCAGCTGTAACTTTTTCGCACTCTATCCCAAACTAAAAAACAACGTACATTTGGCTGGTGTTAGGTCGTAACACAGATTATGGAAAACGCACAAAATATTATGGTAAGCACATAGGACCTCTTAGGGGGATTATTGATTGGAACTCACTCGATCACCTGGCTCTCCAGCACGTCCTGCTAAACCTGGCAAACCTTCACCGAACTCACCCTGTGGATAAAAAATAGTGTACATTTTTGCCTTTCAATATAATACACTGCACTTTAACGAATCTTCCAGTGACTGCCCATTTTAGCTTAATGTTATATTTTAGCACTGATCAAACCTAAAACAGACTAGTAAATTACTTTGCATTTCAACAGATTAAAAAATACATTCACGGAGGAAGTTGTCATGTTTTGGTTCTGCTGCTGCAGTTTCCAGAATGCTCCACTCGTGTTTGCTTACCTTGTCGCCTTTTTGCCCTTGTGCTCCAGGTGCTCCCCGAAGACCTGGCGCCCCATTAAGACCGGGAGAGCCCTAAGAAGAGAAAAAGAAAAACCCCATAAATGGCTCACTTTGCTGTCAAGCTATGAGAAGGCTTCCTAATTTCCTGCTTCTAAGGGGATAACCTAGTTGCATATGTAAGTAATGCATGCTAACAAGAACATGGTCTGGTGTTCATAGCCATGTCCAAATTGTAGGCCTTTATTAAATGAGATTATTCATAGATGAATTTGACCTGCAGTTGACCTCCTTCTGACCTGCATCCTGCGGTTGACCTCCTTCTGACCTGTATTTGAACAGCCTCAAGTGGGTTTTGCATTCCCATAGACTAGTATGGGCACTACTATTTTCTATCATTTCGGGTAGACCCCTGAAAGCTTGTCCTACAAAATTAACTGTTAGTGCAAATAAAACAAGTATCATGGACAGTTCTTAACTGTGTAATTGCAAGTGCACTAATACGGCCACAGTCACCTTGGGCATCACGTTTAAAATGACCTTACTGTCTTTAAAAATATGTTACCTGTTTTTTTCTAAAGAGGAAAAGCATTTGTTGCTCAATCAATCCATTGAACTCAAGGTTCCTGTAAGCAGAGCTTTGGCAACTGTTAATGTTTCCATTAAACTGAAGGTTCCTGTGAGTGGAGCCTTGGAAATTGGTAACTATTTTCATTGAACTGAAGGTTCCTGTGAGCAAAGCCTTGGCAACTGTTAATGTTTCCATTAAACCGAAAGTTCCTGTGAACGCAACCTTGTCAACTGTTGATTGTATGTAACACTTTTCTATTTCTTGTTTTTTTTCTGCAGTTTTGAAGATTGTTAAGCATCATGTACACCTTTCATTAATAATATGCAAATGCTCACTCACTGGACCACCGGGTTCTCCTTTGACTGCAACTCCATTAACCAGTCCTGGAAGTCCCTGGAGAGAAGACACAGAAATTGTAGCTTTGAGGACATTGTGCATCCGTGATATTTGTTTTAGACATTAGCTCCAAAACTGTACATATGTGACTTATATATGCCACTGGGTAACTCTGTTCAGGCCTTAAATGTGTTTTACCCACCCACCCACTACTCACTGTTTTCTCCTGCTCCTTAAGCAGCACTGTTGAACCTCTGGAGACCACAGCCGTTGCATTTTGCGTGGGAGCAGTGGTTCAACCCTCTAAGGTGCTGCCAGCACCGGGTATTTTAATCCTTGCCAAAGCAATTAACTTGTATATACACAGAAAGAAAAGAATATTTATTATTGTATATGCAGCCTGATTGCATTACAGTAATAAATATGAAGGCTTCAGTTGGGCTCTGGAATAGCATGTTGTATTGTGACTGTCCCAGGTATTGTGCAAGACCACCATGAAACTGCTCAAGAAGGGAGAGGTTGATTCCATTTACACTTCCCCTGGCATTTCCATAGACCTGATTAGGGTATTGCTAATGAGCATGCCCCCCAACAACATACTACAGGTACAAACATAAATCCATGGCCTTTAAAAGCCTGTAAAGAAAAAGAAGCCTGAATCTGTAAGCAACCAGTCTAATTGGACTCCACAATTTGCCCTATGCCACCAGTAATCCGCAGATGCAGCCTATGGCACAAGGACACTAAGGCTACTGACACTAGACCCCACTTAAAGGGGGACACCCATAGTTGCCAGCATTTTTAAATAGTTAGGAAGGACATCTAGAAAGATCCTAGAACAAAAATTAAGAGTGGAAAGAGCTCTGCCTGCCAGCCACACGAGGGTCTATTGCTTGTAGTGCTGCTTTGCTATGTTTTAGATAAAATAGGCCCTGGTGAGTATACTAGAGAGAAAGTGGGAGCAAAACAAGTCCCATCATTGGTGCCACTCAGAACAAAATAAGTCTCATTATTGGTGTCAGTGGGAGTAAAATAAGTCTCATTGTTGGTGTCAGTGGGAGTAAATTAAGTCCCATCATTGGTGTGTTTGGGAATAAAATAAGCCCTATTGTTGGTGTCAGTTGGAGGCAAATAAGTCCCATGGTTTGTGTCAGTGGGAACAAAATAAGCCCCATTGTTGGTGTCAGTGGGAGTAAAGTATGTCTCATCCTTGGTGCCAGAGGAAGGGAGTAAATTAAGTCCCATCTTTTTACCCTTTACACCCAATTACCCTTTATCAAATATGAATGATACCCCTAATTTATTTGTATAACTGAATACCTGCTCTTCCATCTCACCTACAATTACCAGACCCCCTCCTAGCTATCCTTTACCCACCATTCAAGTAAGTACCCTTCACACCATTTCATATCCCATTTGTTAACCCTCTTTACAGTCATGTAGGCCTTTAGCCCATGCTTGCATTCTCCTTTGCCCCAGGCCCATGTTTCCATGGCATAAGAACATATCAAGTCACACTGAGCAAATATGAACCTATCAAACAATGTAGCAAATATATTGGGCTGCACATTTCCCACCAAACATAGTACAAAAGTGAATCTTTTAATTATTGTTATGTGTTTCAATAGGAATGACATTGGCATAGAGAATGAAGCAGAAGGCAACCGGTGATCTCTCTCCAAAAACTGTGCTGTCCTGGATAGGGGCATATATGGCCTTTCTGTAAAGCTATGAACTATGATTTATGTAAAGCTATGAGCTATGGGTTCATCTACGGCACAGAAGGAGCACAGGAAATAAGTATCTAGTTCCTATGCTCCTCAGCCACATCTAGTAGTCATAATGTGATTTTCATTACATATGTAAAGGAAAAAAATTAAAGAACATTCATTTGTGCATACATTCACACAGGACTAATGTTCACAGATATTCACAAGGTGAAGGGACCTGCAAATTGTTTATACATCAACAATCCTAGGTGTAATCTGTGCAGCAGTTGCCTCAGTTGCCCGCTTCTGTTGGCTAATTGCATTACAACGACCAGCCCTTTTCACCTGCACAGCCAGCTTGAACTTCGCATGTGTCATTATAAATAACTTGAAGTGCACTTACTCTCTCACCTCGTTCTCCTTTCTCTCCCTAGAAGACAAGGATACATGTAAAGCATTTAAAACATGGACTTCATATTTGCATATATTACAGATAAAAGGAAGACATTACAGGGTTTTGTTTAGCCTTTCAGGGATAAGCTTTAGTGTTTTATGCAGTAAATTCTTTGATGTTTGTTTTTTATTTTAAATAATTGCTATACCTGTTACTTACAATAAGAAGTGCCTCTGAATGATCACTACACAGACATGTTGTGCTTTCTGTCTAGGTATAGCAGTATCAGTGGAGATAATGATCTCTGCTACTGATAAGGAAGTCTGGATCTCCCAGGTTAAAGGAAGGCTTCCATGAGTGGGAGTATGGTGGCTACTACAGCCGAACCTCACTTCTGCAAATGCTTGTTCTCTGGATGTCATGCTGCCCCTTTGAATGTAACACTGATTTATAAATTGCCTGTATAGTGTATAGCAGGGTGAATGCCATTCGCATGACACTACTGCCACTAGATGGAGCTGAGGAGCATAGGAATTTGTGATGCTCCTTGGCTCCATCTAGTGGCAGTAGTGCTGTGCAAACGCATAGCTGGGCAGAAGATTTATAAATCAGCTCCTTTGAGTCACTGACCTGCAACAAGCATGTAGATCAGGATTTTTGACTTTTCTCTGTCTTTCCTGAGCTCTATAGTTGTTCTGGGTGAGTGACTAAGGCCTTGTTCACACTGGGTGATCTGGAATTCCTACAGCAGGAACATACGGATTCCTGCTGCAGGAATGTCAGGTGTCCCTGTTTAGATTTGTCCGATTTACCCATGCAAGTTAATGAGTGGGTGACAGCGGCTGTATCTGTAAGCGGCAGTCCACATGTAATCGTATGTGATACGAAAGCATGCAGCTTGGGATAGATCACTTTTGCTGGATGCATCTATTGAACGTCCAGGGACAGTCATCTATTCCAAACCGCATGTAACTGTAACACACACGATTACAACGGGACTCCCCCTTACAGATGCGCCCGCTGTCACCCAGCCATTAACTTGAACCGGCACAGCAGACACATCTAAATTGGGACACCTGGCATTACTAAGTCAAATTCAGGTACTTACACTGCATGCATCTAAGATACTGTACACTAATGATTATGGAGCTGCATAAATGTGAGCCTTTTATATGCCTAGAGTTCAGCTTAAAAATGGGCCAAATAATGTAACATATACCCTATAATAAATGTAGCTATTGTTCAAGAGATCTGAATTCCCTACTGAAGAATGTAAGAGTGCTTGGCAAACACCATTAAATATGGAAACCATTTTAAACAATATTCCATCGAGGGGTTTTGCGTGAAATGTAAGGAACTTACCTTCACAGTCTGGCCTATAACACCAGGAGGTCCACTTGGTCCCTCGGGCCCTTGGGGTCCTGGATTTCCGGGGATTCCCCTCTGCCCTGGAGTCCCTGGTTGTCCGGGAATTCCCTTGTAGAGAGAAAGATATATAATAAGGTCATCAAAACATTTCATAATCAGAGCGTGGGGAGGAGATTTGTCGGGGTCACTAATGTTTGTAGGCTGTAAATAAAGATAAAAGCTGTATACAGTTGTAAATATTTATATATAAGAGATATACTGTATGTTTAAGATGTATCCTTATAATGTACCAAGTGTTGTGTGTTTAAAGGTTTCCACAAAAATAAAGAGATGGATTAATTGTGCGGGTTTCCCCTTAAATGCATACCAGACCTCTATCTGGCATAGGGATCTGGTATGGATTTTGGAGTGGCCACACAACGCTTTTTACATTTAGGTTATGTACATTTTAGACTGGAGTGCCCTGAGATTTTGCATATTTTTAAAGGGTACCGTGACTGAAAAAAGGTTGCGAATCGCTGGTCTGAACAATGCGTGTTTAGAACGAGAGATGGGGCTGGTAGAGACTCTAGATTCATAGGATGACATCTGTTGGTCATAAGTAGTAATGCAGACTATCAAACAAGGTGTTAAGAGAAACATGTAGGGGGTTATTCACGAAGGAGCCGAAGGATCCAGCCGTAACTTCTGCTGATCCTTCGGCTCTCTTCGGCCGCTGGAGCACTGCGGTTCAGTTGAATCGAGGGGCTGCTAAACGAGCTATTCACTACAGCCCCTACACCAGCTGAAGGTGGCCGAGCGGCTCAGCCGAGCCCAAGACAGTCCCACAAATGACAGCTGGGCGGAACTGGGACGTGATAACACATGTGCGTTGCCTATACCAAGGACATTAGGTAACCCTTACTCTCCTCATTAAGCAATGACACTTACTGGATTTCCAGGCTCTCCTTTCCTTCCAGGAACACCTCCACCACCATTTATTACTTCACCAGGTTCACCCTGTTACAAAAAGAAGGATTGATGACACATTGTTACAATTTATATGAATGTATACAAGCAGGATTCACAGAGATAACCATGGGGCAAGATTTATATGCCGGAAGGAAGGACTGTGTTGCCTATGATGACCAATCAAATTACAGATGGCATTCCACTGCTATTGACAGTTGCACTACAACAACTAGAAGATGATTGGTTGATACCAGGAAAAAAGACCCTACAGCACTAACCATATTCCTAATTCTACAATTTTCTAAACATCTTACATTTTTGCAACCCCTCCAGGTATGCATTATGGTTGTCAGTGTCCCCTTTGGGTAGATTCTTCCTTACATCCTATCACTTATACAGGATGTAAGGGGAAATGTCTCCAATGGATATCAGAGTTGGGAAGAGTTAAAATCTCTTTTTTTACTGATGGTGCCCCCATTGGAGAGATTTTTCCCACTCCCCGTTAAAACTCCAAGCTTCAGGGAGTCAGTGGGACAACAAGTGAAGGGAAAGCATTCTTAGTATATTGACAGTTGTAATGTGTTTGTAGCCTAATACTTTTTTATTTGATAGAATACTCGTAATAGTAACTGCAATAGCATGACTATGAAGTCTTCTATTCCATCCTATTCTGTTAGCTCTTGCGCCCAGGCAGCCATTTTTTTCCAGCTGGCAGAAGTAAGCTGCTCCTTGGTCTTACCGGAAAGCCTCTCTCTCCTTTGGGACCAGCGGGCCCCGTACGTCCCGTATCCCCCTACATTGAGACAAAACTCTGTGTTAATCAACTAAGAATACTGTAAATCACAAGAGCCATTTAGAACGTTCACTGACATACTCACAGTTTCTCCTTTATCTCCTTTAGCCCCCTGAAATAAAACATAAAATTAGGGACATGACCTTTAAATGTTAATGGTTTATGTATATCAGTGTGCATTGTGCTCATAGCAATACGTGCATTGACCAGACTCACCAGTGTGCCTGCCGTGCCAGGATTTCCGGGACGTCCCGGTGTTCCTGGGAGCCCGTCTGCCCCCGGCTCACCCTGGAACGGATCATTTTGAGCGTCAAAGAGCAGATATAGTTATGGCTTTCATTTCATGATACCGGGAAACTATAATCAATTTTGTATTTTCATTTTTTTTTATTTACAAGTTTTTATATTTGGAATTAATAGTTATATAAAGTCGTTATGTTACAAATAAACATTTAATACGGGGTGCACCCATAACACTGGTTTAGCAGAGAATTCTGCATTTTCTAAACAGAGAACACAGCACTAGCTTTTAAAATGCATCTTTCTAACTGAAACACCATATAAAGCATTACAGGACATGTAAGGAGGGGAAAGAGGGAGGAGTCACTTTGCTAATTTCGTGTAGCTGTGTATGTAATTTGAGCTTCAGTAATCAGCTTATGAAAACATGCTTTTTTAAGCAAATTAGTGATAGATGTCAATAGGAACCTGCAGTTTTATCTACTGGCTGGAAATGGTAAACATTAGGGATGCACCGATACCAAGTACCGTACTCGGTACAAGTACAAGTACAGATACTTTTCGAGCTCCAAGACTAGACTAGAGAAAAACTCAAAAGTTAGGAGGCAGCTGTCATTTGTAAGGAGCACACGGAGCTCCTGGGATTTGTACATCTCTGTTTTATTGTATGATTTTGTTTTTATAAATATAAATAAAGGGATGCACCGATACCAGTTTTGCGAGTACTGATACTTGCCCAACTACTTACAAGTACGAGTACTGATGCATTTTTGTTTAGCGTCATGTGACAGTTTTTCTAAAACAATACAGACTAATGATTTCAGGACAGTGGTGGAGCGCCAGAGCCAGGTCCCAGCTGCTACCGCTGCAACCCTGGTAGTTTTCATGAAAATGCCAAGTATCTGCACTGGTACTCGAAAAGTATTGTTGCATCCCTAGTAAACATGCAATATTAATGTGCAATAATTTTAATATAACTGACTAAAGATGGGCCAAAAGGGTATCAGTATAGGTTAAACACCTCCAATCAAATATATTAAACACCCTTTACCACATTTATCTTCAAAAATCGTGAAACCAGCTTCAATTCAGCAAGCATAAATACCCGAAATCTGTCTATACATTGACTTTCCATATGCCTATTCAGGGGTGTCTCTACACTATTTGCCACCTGAAGTGGGGGAGGGGTTGCTGGCAGTGGACGCTTGTTACTGGGGGCAAAAAAGTGCTACCTCTAGGTCCAGCATCTGGCATCCCACCCGTCTCACTGATGTCACTAGTTGCCAGGAGCTGGGCGGGATGCCGGCCACAGCTCCTAGCAACCGGTGACGTCAGTGAGCTGGGTGGGACGCCGGCCAGAGCATCACAGGTCCCTCCCCCCACAACACGACCCAATGAGATGCTGCATGAGGCAACCACCCCAGGCTGCCTCATTATACGAACGGTCCTGTGCCTGTTGATGATATTAAAATAAGGCTTGCAGTGGGAGTGGCTGATCTGTAAACTGAAACTTGGCAAGGGGAGGTGCTAAGGTGGACTTGTAGGAGGAGACAAATGAGTGTCACCAGTATGGCGAGCCTCACTAAGATTCAAAGAGCAGGGACAGAGGGAGGAGGGGGGGCAGTTGCATGGAGTATGCAGAACTGTAGTTTCTGAAAAGCGTTGCCACCATATCAATACTATGTAACCATCTAGGACAAAAGTATGAGCATTGCTGTACCAGAATAGTAACACGTATCCTTTATGTGTGTTACAAACGGAAAATTTAGACACGTCACTTTATTTGACCTTTAATAACCGCACAGGAATCATCCCACCGGGCCACTTACAGTGTCTCCTTTCTCTGCTCTTGTTGCTGTCCCCTCACCCGGTGGTCCACGGGGCCCAACGGGACCTTGAGGGCCGGGGGACCCACTCCGACCCTGCGAAACAAAAAATTCACAAACGTCTTAAATGCGGTAAATCTATTTTCTGTGTTCTTCATTGACATGTTGATTGTAATATAAGAGTTCATTGTATCTACTCTATATGTATCCAATGAATGAGTATGAATGTATCCATGTCAATGTGTCCTTCACTGGAGGGAATGTGGTAAAAATGGCTTTTGGAAAGGGGTGACCCTCCATGCAAATGTTATAAATCTGAAGAGGTGGATCCTATTCCTTTCTTTGTATTTGGCTCTATGTATAGCTAGCTTAGCCCGCCGGTCCTGTCTTTGCTGATAGAGAGGGAAGAGATGTGTCCCTCCTCTCTTGCTCAATAGCAATCCAGTCAGAGTTCACTCTTTGTATATAGTATATGAGGTGCTTTTTCATACTAGTTGATGTTTGCCCAAAACATCTCTGCCGCAATGATTTCAAATGGATTTGCCCATCCGGGACTGGCACAGTCTGAAATAAGCCAAGGCACCATATATATTGTGTGGATACAGTGTAACATAAAACAAAGGGACACTTACTGGCTCTCCTGGAGTTCCCTGCAATCCTTGACGCCCAGTGGCTCCCTGCAAACATGAGTTAGAAAATACAGATGACCATTGAACATTATAATGGGAACAAAATGGAATAATGAGACTATTATTATTATACAGGATCTATATAGCACCAACAATTTGCTCAGCGCTTTACAAAATAGTGGACAACCAGACATATTAAAGGGAACCTGCAGTACTGCAGCAAATAATATGCTACAAACCTTCGGTTATCAAGGTGTCAATGTGTTCTAGGAGGACAAGGTAATGCCCTTACCTACCTCAGTTAAAGTAATACTAAACTCAGGAGTTAAATCTTTAAAATACATTCAAGTACCGGAACTATTAACAGAAATTTATCTTATTTGTGTATCACTCGGCTGTAGATCCTCCAATCATCTCTGAATTGGTGCTGACACTGTCCTTCCTTCTGGAGGGTGACTACTTTTGTTCCCCATGGCCCCTGTGTGTGTTGTAAAGTAGTCACCGCTCCAAGCTCGCTCCTGTGATGGACTACAATCTCATGTTTAGTTAGGTAATTTGTACTGAGATTGTAAGCGGGGGTAAGGAAAACTCTGGTCCACCTACCCGAAGGCCGGCGGACCCCGATCCTCAGGGTCCTACCGAAGTAGGACCCTCAAGTACTAGGTAAGGGGCTCCCACGAAGAGAGAAGGCAGAGAAGCCCGTAAAGGCCACAGAACCTCCCCATTAACATCAGGACGGGCCCCGAAGGTACCCGCACCCTACGTCAATCTTTGGAGTTAGAAAGTGCAGTCGTGCATAAAATAGTGCGTAAAATAAATAAGATTGTTGTTATACAGTATAGTGTCTGGTGACAGGCTCTCTTTAAACTTTTATCAGTGGAAGACACAAGTACGCTCAGGGAGACTACCGTCCTCTTACAATGCTTTAATAATAAAGTACTTAGAGGTAATTGTGAATGTCTTGGTACCTACCGGATCACCTTTCGGTCCCCTTTCTCCCTAAAACAGAGAAAATATACAAACTATTAAAAGTGTAATTATAACAAGGAATTTTTTGTTACCTGTTTTTTCATCTTCTTTAGTCACTTTGATTATATCCATTGACGCCAATCAATCCACAAAAGTCTAACGCAGGCAATATTTTCTTTCCATTTTTGAAGTTTATTATAGACTTTATTGCATATATCTGCTGAATTTGCTAGTTATGCTGTAATATTTTTGTATGTAAAAGTCAATTCACAGAAGTTTTATTACCCCTGTCGGGGTTTATTCAGTGATTTGAATAATCTTACCTGCGGGCATTGTACTGTGCATGGCTCCTAGACAAAGAAAAGAAGAAAAGCTTGAATAAGCAGAAACAGAGCATTCTCAAAGGGTCTGATTTGTATATCTAACGAAAGTCCATGAACCCATTGCACTCCTGACCGCTTATTCCATATGAGTTGGATGGGTGCAGCGCAGAGGCGTCCCGAGGCCGGGTGTCACCAGGAGCAGATAGCGGGTGACACCCGCCTTGACGTCATCGCACATGCGTGGCCGTCTTATTGATACTGACCGGCGGCCATCTTTGTGATGGATGCCGGCAGAGAGAGAAGGGGGCGTTCACCTGGCAGGATAAAGTATGCCGCCACGTCCCCTCCTCTCTCCTGAAACTGTCGTGCTCTCGGTCCATGACCGAATGCCCGACTTTTTAGAGGGGGTGACACAGAAATGGCTGTCAGTCATTTTGATGTCACCCCTCCAATCATGTCGTCCGGGTGCGGGCCGCACTCCCCACCCTCCCTCTGTGACACCACTGGTGCAGCGGTAGTCGGACGACGGCAACCGTCATATACATAAATAGAAATAGGGACACCGGCACTCCAGATGCAGATCAAATGCGTCTATTTAATTACGTAAATGCAGCATATCACACTGGTGCAACAATTCGGGGTCTCGCAGGATCCCCTTCCTCAGGCAGAACATCTTCCACCCAGCATGTAGCTGAGCGAATGCCGCTTGCATGGCACTACCACCACTAGATGGTGCCAATGTGCATAGGAATTTCCTGTGCTCCTCAGCTCCAGGGTAGGGATATGCACACAGCATCCAACCAGCTTTACACTGGGCCAATGATGTATATATCAGCCCAAAAGTGTATAGCAAGTTTAATGTCACTCCTATTTATTATATATATGAACTGTTCTAGGACACAAGATGGCCTAATTTTCTTACAGTACCATCCCCCACCCACTCATATACTTAGTTATGTTGGGTGTCTATAATTTAACCAAATATAGTAAGTGATGCTCCCAACATTGAGCATTATATACATTAATAGGGACATTTCTGGCCTCTTGGGAGTATCTGTAAAAATATATTAAAGCAACTAGACTAGTATTTTTCATGAAGCTGTTTTGTTGGTCATCCAACTAGCTTTCTCGATTTATTCTGAGTTGAGAAAGCTAGTCAGATGACCAGGGAAACGTCTTCAAGAAAAATACAAGTCCAGTTGCTTTGTTTTTTTTTTACAGATATGCCATGACCTGGATGATGATAGAGAACCGACTTCACAGACTCTTGGGAGTAGAGACAATACTTTATTCTTCTTAAAATAATTTGTGTCCATTGCTTCCACCATTGGCCAAGCATCTCCTCAGGTCCTGGAACTTAGGTGGATTTTTCCTGGGAGGACAGCTTCCTCCCTGGCAGTCATACTCATATAGAGATCTGTCTGTCTATGGTTACCTTGAAAATTATCCCAAGCCTTAACATGGCAGGGAGCCAAGGTCAGTTGTTTTCAGCTAGACTTTGAAATAAATTGCCTTAGCTTAAAAGATAAGACCGTTTGAGGACTAGAGCGGGTTGAGAAAAGCTTTGCTCTGGATCTACCTGAAGCCTCAGCTTCAGGTAGATCCAGAGCAAATGCTCTTTTTAACCCCAGCATAGGATGACGTATATATTGTGCTACACACATAGTCAGTCAATAATATGAAATCACCTGCAGTCCATACAGCGTACAGACCTTGGATGAAAGGTTGGTGCTTGAAGTGACAACATGGATGGCGCTGTGTCAGATACAGTCCATAACAGAAGTCACCAGCACTCGATGATGTGTGCAAGAACTAAAGCACTTTTTATTAAATCGTCACGTGCATCATACAGCCAATGTTTCTAGGGCCACGCAGGGTCCCTTCTTCTGGGCGACATAGTCACTATGTCGCCCAGAAGAAGGGACCCTGCGTGGCCCTAGAAACATTGGCTGTATGATGCACGTGACGATTTAATAAAAAGTGCTTTAGTTCTTGCACACATCATCGAGTGCTGGTGACTTCCATTATGGACACACATAGTCAGAACAACAATCACAATGTAAGCATTTCCCTTCTGCTGTAACAATACAGGGCAGACAAGGAGATGGCTTCTTCTCCAAGGCAACAGGTTATTGAACAAGGTCTGTTTAATATAGAGGAATGTAATTTCTTACCCCTGCTTGAGAGACAAAACAAATGGCCTCCGCTAAGCGATCCGCCATGCTGTTCAGGTTGACCGCCTCTTCGGTGTAGAAGACATTTTGAGCACTCTGGCCCGTGACTATCCTTCGCAGCTGTTCCTGGTCAGCCTCGTTCATTCCTACTGCCAGCACTCGAACCCCTGAGACATCAGAAGACATGGTGAGTTTTCAGGAATGGCACTCCCAACTGTAGGACCGCTACAAATCAATTGATGCTTTATTGGTTGACCTCAGAGGGTTAGTGGAAAGTCCTATAAGTGGCCCAGATAATCTGTGGTAAGAGGTTTGAACTCAGCTCACACATGTCATTGGGAGCTTGATGATCTATTAAATCCATACATTTGCAGTTAGGAAGTTCTGCTGCCCATTGATAAAAGGCATTATTGATAATTAATGCGAAGGAAGTTTGGACAACTTTTATCATTTGTCGTACATGTAAGCAGATAATAAACCTAATTAGAGTCACAGAAACATTGTACTAGAAACCTCCATATTTATAGTCTAAAGCTGGCCAGGCACTAGTACTTTTGTTTAATGAAGTGGTGCCAACTGTGCTATCCACAGACCAAATTTTGGTGGAGGTCTGCTGCCTTGGCCGACATTTGAGCAATGTTTTTCCAGCTTTACCTCCATTTTCACGCTACAGTAGTTGTGAAGGGAGCTGGGTCATAAGAATGATACCCAGTACGTCGCCGTATGGGAGATCATGTGACTCAATACCTTTCCTCTTTTGTGACTGGTGCTTAATAATTGGCCACTCAGACCCCCAACTTTGTTACATGGGGGAGAGAGTCCTTCACAATCAGCTGCAGGGGGCAAATATAGACAAGGTCTCCAATGTTTTGTCTCCTAAGGTCCTCTATGGTTTAAAGGGGGCCACACACACATGCTTTGGATCTTCATGACCTATACATGTAAGTCAGGATTATTATATATAAGTGATGTATATATGATATAGGCTAGAAATGCTAATACCTTATATGTATGTGCTATAGATGTCCACCTCTTTCCTAAGGAAATGAGTCTTGTTCATGAAACGTTGTACTCTCTTTTTTATAGCCTTCCCTTAATTATATTGAGATATGTGGACCACTACTACTATCAGCTTCACTATGATATTATTGAATATGTAATTGTTGGGGGTGAGGCTGAGCTGGAATAATACATTGAATTGACATTATGTTTTATTGGTATATATCGTGTTTTATGCTTCGGATACAATGGATATTTACCCACATTAATGACAGTTGTCTGTGCCCATAAAAGTCCCATCTAAAACTCTTAAATATTTAGTTTCCAATTTGGTTGGAAGGTGTATAACCTCTACACTTGAATTATTTCAGTATATTCTATAGTAAGTGTGGACACACCAACTCTATATGTGCTGAATTTTCAAATCTGCACCTTCTTGTTGGGAACTGATTGTTGACGATCTGAATAGGGAACTTGCAGGAAAAAAAGACAAAACTAAAGCACACATAACCTGGTACTGGGTAAGCAACTGGGTCATTCCAGAGGAGGACGAAGAGCTTGTTTGAGGCAGAAGACTTCATGATAGATGAAACGAAAAGTCAAGATGGGAGCTTTCAGGTTATAAAATGACTTACCAGTAGCCCTGATAGCATTTGCCGCCTGTGACACGTCATCCGAGGATGGCCCATCCGCCAAGAGCACCAAAACCCCGGGCACGCTCTGTCTCCTTCCATAAACCGGTGAGAACAAATAGTTCCTTGCAAAGTCTATGGCTCCACCTGGAGATTAAACACAATGTATAGAGATAACTGACACATGTGCCATATCCTAAATGGAATAAAAGCTAACATATAGCTCACACAATGGCTAACAAATACTGAAAGGAATATATTTCTGAACAATCATTAATACAGAATCATTGTCTTCTATTGGGCTATTAAATATGATTTATTCATATGCATAAATCAAACATCTATGCATTTTGCCTTGGTAAACCAAGTAAGCAGTGGCCAATCCATAAGCTATTGGATTAAAGGTAACAGTGTGTGCCTTGTCACTGAGCAGAGTAGGAAGAAGTAGGAAGAAGAGGTGGAACGGCAAGCTGTATATAACCTATGCCCTATGTCATATGGTGGAGGAGGAAGCAGCACTGGTTCAGTAATATGTATACAAAATCATAGGTTGTGCCTTGTCAGGTGGTGCAGTTGCATGGTCTGCTGTGACAGTAGTTTTGGCCTTGTACACGCTATTTGTAACAGCTGCCAATTGTATTTTTGATTGGTTAGGATTTATCCTGAAAAAGAAAAAGTGCCTTGTCCAGTACGTCTTTGCTTCCTACTACCGTGTTTCCCTGAAAGTAAGACATCCCCCGAAAATAAGACCTAGTGTCTTATTTCATGCAAAAAAATAAATAAGACACTGTCTTATTTTCGGGGAAACACGGTATACTATCTGACAAGGAACACACTGTCACCTTATACACAGCTTACTGATCCAGCACTGCTTACTTCTCCACTATCTAACAAGACACACGCTGTCACCTTATATACAGATTACTGATCCAGCACTGCTTCCTCCTCCACAGTCTGACAAGGAAGACACTGTTACCATATACACAGCTTACTGATCTAGCACTGCTTACTTCTCCACTATCTAACAAGACACACGCTGTCACCTTATACACAGCTTACTGATCTAGCACTGCTTCCTCCTGCATTTAATAAGGCACACATTACCCTGACAGCTGCATCATTCCTCAAATATAAAATTCATCTTTATATTATGTAAGAACCTCCTGCAGTTGATTGCAGAGCAGTTTTTTTGTATTGGAAACCTGAGCAATGAGGTTGTTTTTGATCCAGGGAATCTTAAGGCCTCATTCACACACAACGCAAGCAAAATTGTATATTGCGCATATACGCGTCTATGCGTGTATATACGAGCGTCTGTGCATATATGCGTGCACTATTTGCCTTCCCAGAATGCATAATTCCTAATGGAAATTTTAATGAACTCTACGCACATACGCGTAAAATACGCAGAAATACGCTGCCCGGACGCATGTCGGTTCCATTCTGTTTTTACGCATATATACGCTACGCAAATATACGGCTCCATACGCGGCTATGTGTATGGAGCCATTTATTTGAATATGTTGCATATGGTACAATATGCACGTACGCGCGTATATGCGCGGCAGTGTGAATGAGGCCTTAAGGGGTTTATGGTGGAACTCCATTATTTTCAATTACACCTTAGACATATAAAAAAAGAAATAAAAACCTGCTGACACAGAAAAAAATATACATTGTATCCCGCTCCTTTACTACAGTGTGCAAACTGTTCATTTTTGTTTTTTTTAGATTTTTTTGTCATTTTTTGGGGCATCAAAACGAGCTGTTTTCAGCATTCATCAACAAAGTGTGCCGAGCATTCCGACGTCAAACTAGCCTAGCCTGCTCACATCTCTTCATGAAAAAACAACAGAACCTCTTGAAACTCTTGTTTTTGTATCGGCCACATTTTGTGAAGATTTTTGGCTTACCGATAGCAGTTCCACTCGGATCAGTAAAGGGGATGTTTTGGATTTGTTGTAGGACCGTTCTGAGCTCGCTGGATCGGTTCAGCAGCACAGAGGGACGTTGCCGGAAGCTGTACGAGCCCACAGACACCTACAGAAAAATAAGACAGATAACTCATTAGAACTGCTTTATAAATGAAGAAAATAATGGCCGTCTAGAAGAGGAGAACACAGAGAGCTATTCTAAGTGGCAGTGACTGATAGGACAAGCGAAAACCTTCACAGCTAGAGATGGTATCAAGAAATCCAAGAGTTGTAGTGATAAGAATAAACCTCTAGGTGGGGCTGTTTGCTTAAAAAAATATTGTAATGTGCATTAGAATCTCCAGCAAGACAGATAGAGCCCGCCTCATTTCCTTGCTGGAGGATGTCCAGCATCATCTAGCTATTTCCTCCCCAGCCTGACTTTCTGTGGCTGGCCCCTTTCATTCATTGGATTTCAGTTCAATCAATCACATTTGGGCATTACCTCAATGCAGGCAGATGGCCTGTGGCTATATAAGATCAATTATGTTATTAGCATTCCGCCCCCATGTTTATATGCAGCTCTGGCACGGGAAATGCCCAGGCCGCAAAAAAGTTTTGATATTATGCTACATGTTTATGTAGCCTGGTATTAAAGAAGTTGATTATAGAGGTGGCCCAATGTTCCCTTCATTCTCTTTTCTTTTTTATAGTTTAACTTGGCACCTTGGTAAATTAATTTAAGTTATGCACACAGGAGAGATCATTGTTAGCTGGTTTTGGTCAACTGCCCCGGCCGCAGCTGACTGGGACAGCTTCCTTCTAGGTTCAGACAAACTCAGGTTTGGACTGAACCTGAGCTCATCTCTAGCAATGTAAAATAAAGCATGCCACTTCTGCAGTACTGTTCCCTGGCTATACGTTTCTTGTCAAATGTCAGCTACTGTGTTACCTGAGTGGCATTTGATCCCAGAGGTCCAACTGAGGAGACGACGCGTGAGAGGAATCTTTTGATCGCCTCTTCGTTGAACTGGTTGTCCTGTGTGGTATGCACCAAGAAGACGATATCCAACCTTCCATTTCCGCAAACTGTACAAGAAATGGGTCATCAATGAGAAGATTTCATGTTATCTGATACACATGTGGGGTTGATTTACTAACCTTTTAAACACACCACGAACGTGTATACACCTCTGTAGTGTGTTCCCTCCCAGCATGATCTATGGGAGGAATCGAAACACCTTTGTAGTGTGTACACACCCAGCAGGTGTGTTGTGCAAAGCCCTGCAATGAATTGCAAGGTAATGTGGTGTAAATTAGCTCTATGTTATGTTGCTTGCGTTGATGAATCCAGGAATGTAAATGCATGAGCTAACCATTTTTATCTAAACTGTGAAGCAGCATTATATATGCATCATGTGCATGATTTTTCCATATATGGCATTAGTGGAAATATGCTTTTAGAGACTTTTTGGTTGATAAATACGTTTTGCTGTGTGAAAATCACACACACCTGGTGTGTGTGTGTGTTTAGGTTAGTAAATCACCCCCACAGTCTCAGTTTCTTCTCTTGAAAATTCTCCTGGTGAGATCTCTGCACACCTGCTGTGCCCATTATGAGGGGTTCCCACCATCCCTGTGCTGAGTTCCCGGGTCTGTACACCTCCTGTGCCCATTATGAGGAGTTCCCACTATCCCTGTGCTGAGTTCCTGGGTCTGTACACCCGCTGTGCCCTTCATATGAGGTTCCCATCATGTCTGTGCTGAGTTCCCGGGTCTGTACACCTGCTATGCCCATTATGAGGGGCTCCCATCATCCCTGTGCTGAGTTCCTGGGTCTGTACACCCGCTGTGCCCTTCATATGAGGTTCCCATCATGTCTGTGCTGAGTTCCCGGGTCTGTACACCTGCTGTGCCCATTATGAAGGGGTTCCCATCATCCCTGTGCTGAGTTACTGGGTCTGTACACCCGCTGTGCCCATTATGAGGGGCTCCCATCATCCCTGTGCTGAGTTCCCGGGTCTGTACACCTGCTGTGCCCATTATGAGGGGCTCCCATCATCCCTGTGCTGAGTTCCCGGGTCTGTACACCTGCTGTGCCCATTATGAGGGGTTCCCACAATCCATGAGCTGAGTTCCTGGGTCTGTGCGCCAAGTGACGAGGGAGCATGAAGCTGGCTTCCCGGCTAATCAGGAAGCCGGGCAACGTGTAATAACTCGCCTCCCGGCTTACTGATATCGGAAGTTTCGGTATCGGGCTAGGCATCGGGAGCATTTGGACAAGTACGAGTACTCACCCAAATACTCTGTATTGGCACCGATATCGACACTAGTATTGGTATCGGTGCATCCCTACAGGTCTTCTCCCTCTCCCAGCCTGGCACTGGACAGGGAAAGAAAAAGCAGCGTATTGCTGAACTCATCTATCTGTCACTCTGCTCTCTCCTCCTACATGTTCCTTTTTAGCACACTAGCACTGCAATGCAACTGAGTGGCTTTTTGTGCTGCTTCTGCATCTCCCAGTCAAAGCCCTACTGCACTTGGGATTGATACACTTATACCAACTCAAATCCAGGTCCTTACACCGCATAAACATTAATCTGTGTGCTTTATATCTGCCCGGTGTTCAGCTTTAAGTCATAAAATGAGATGCTGGACTCACGGGTGTTTGCCAAGGTGGTTACAGCTTCACTCTCCTGGCTTCCAGACAATGAGGTCACACGGAATTGATAGCGAGCGCCAGATATCAGGCTGTCGATGTCATGGAACCCCACATCTCCGGCCACCAAGCGACTCGTTTCCGGACCACCTGTAAGAAATATTTACAAGGCTGACACAAGAAGAGTTTATCATTTACACAAGCTAGACGATGAGCTAACACATAGGAATGTAGTAGGAATGTATTCATCATCATGTTCTTCCGAGGTAAGGAGTCTCCCAATTGGGAGTGCTGAGCCTAAAATCTGTGCCCAGAAACAATGATATATATCTGAAAAAAAAATCACTATTTATGGAGTCCTGGTGTCCCTGACAGTCGTGAAATTTTGGGTGGATTAAAAAATTGGGAAGTGTGTGTTAACAGTCCCTCTCAGCCTGTCACAGCAGAGCACATCTGGGGTCAGAATAACAAAAAAAGAATTGGCCGTGAAATAAGAGGAGTCTTCTATTTGATGTACTCATACAATTCTGTGGGGTTCACAGACATCGCATAGCTTACACTGATATTTTAATGAGCCTCAGCTTTAGTAATATATGTATATGGATCCCAGACCTGAATGGCATTTGGGAGCTCCCGAATGCAATTCAGAAATTCGGATCCCGAATGCCGTTTGGGTCTGGGAGACATATACATAATTACTAGGGATGCACCGATACCGGTACTATATCGGTACTCGCCGAAGTCCCATTCAGGAAGCCGGGCAGCGTGTAAAGACTCGCCACCTGGCTTCCTGATTAGCAGGGAAGCCGTCTCCATGCTTCTCGTCACCAGGTGAAGAGAAAGCATGGAGCCGGCTTTCTGGCCAATCATGAAGCTGGGTGCCCTGTAATGACTCGCCACCCGGCTTCCTGAATGGCGGGGAAGCCGGTTGCATACTCCCTCGTCACATGTATTATCGGTATCGGTGCATCCCTAATAATTACTAAAGCTGAGGCTCCCAGACCCAAATGGCATTCGGAAATTCGGATCCCGAATGCCATTTGGGTCTAGGAGCCTCAGGTTTAGCATTTTATGTATATACTGAACCATGAAAATTCGTGTTCAGACCCATTCGGATACATTAAACCGAAAAACACATCTGATTGGCCAGAAAAGTCACATTCTCAATTCAGTTTCGTTTTTGAACGAAATCCGGACGGGATTTCGAAATTCAGAAACGGAAATTCGGATTCGAACACATTCGGATGCATTGGGATTCGGAAATTCTGATGTGCATTTCAGAATAGAATTTCAGAAAAAAAAAAGATTTCAGAAAATTCATCCGAATTTTGATTCGGAACGATACAAATCGCACATGTCTACATGATCCCCCTACCCTCCGTACATCATTTTAATCTTTCTTTCCTTTTCTTTTTCTTGACCTTCCAGCATGTCTTTGGAGTGTGGGAGGAAACCGGAGTACCCGGAAGAAACCCCGCGCATACACAGGGAGAACATGCAAACTCCATTCAGATAGTGTCCAAGGGAGGAACCATAGGAAGGTGCATATAACCACATCTGGGGGCCAGCAGTAAAGTCAGCCTGCTACACAGTTTTTAAAGTGTATTTGCACCTTTGCAATCAAACTTGAGAAACCCCCCACTATATATTTGTTATGTGTTCCCATTCATGCATAGCATGCCTAAAAATACTTGAAAAAAATATTTCTTACCATTTTAGTTGTTTTGTTGGAGCATTATACATAGGACTCTATGGGCAGCTGTTACTGATCAGAAGAACTTGCAATGTGCAAGTAAAGAACAGACCGAGAGGCAGTTGCATTAATATACAATGTACCACCTAAGGCTTGAGATCTTTAACCACTTCAAGACCAGGTGTTTAGACCCCCTTCCTGGCCAGGCCATTTTTCAGTGTTCAGCGCTGCAGTCCTTTGACTGACGTTTATTCCGTCATGCAACGCTGTACTGAAATGAATTTTATACCATTTTTTGGGGACAGATAGGGCTTTATTTTGGGGGTATTTAATCACCACTGGGG